GGTTATGTGATAGCAAGGGCTGTATATAATCAAAATATATCAGATTGCAATGAGTGATATTCCAAATATTTTCATGAATTTTCAAGAATTTTCAATTTTTATTTTTATTTTCAATAATGCACTGTCCAAGGATAGACAGAGGAATATGCTTAGGGAGACAATTGCAATAGTCTGCGAGTTCTTGCTTGAGCTGCAAATGAATGAAATGGTGACTGGTTTGGGTCAGCTTCCCTGAGACAACTGACAGCCGAATGACAACCCTCGTGGTTGTAAATGATATTTAAAATAATTTCCCTGAGGAAAGTGATGACGTGATGACCCAACTGTAGAAGGGACATATCATCCAGCTCATACGCAGAACGCAATTGGGCATCCCATCTTCTTGGGGAATACCAGCGATAATCTCACGTATAGCGATAAGAAGGCACTGCGCGGTGCTGAGATCGCATGGCTGATAAGTGTGCGGCTTTTAAAGTTTTTTTAAAATTTCTGAATAAGGAACTCTGAAGACGTCTGATAAGGTCCCCGTAGTTCTTCAGGTGGGAATCACTGATGACTCCCTTAGCGGCAGAGAGTAGTTTTGCCAAAACTTCGCCAAACACTGGGGAGCACTGCCAGTGCCAGAAGTGATCGGCCTCATCAGTACACCTGGCTTGTGCACCTTCGGGAGACCTCTCATGGACGGGTTGCGGGGGCCTCCTCCAGCAGGTGAAGTAAGCCTTTCCCTCTAGCCGACCGCAGGAGTATATCCTTGCCTTCTTTAATATGGCAGCTTCCATTCGTCACTCTCCTGTAAACAGAAGCATCGGAAAGTAAATTGTTCATATTATGTGTATAATCAAGTCTTATCCCTAACAACAATACCCCCACCTTTATCGGCCAGGGTGATGGTCTCGTCGTCGCGGAGGCCCTTCATCGCGGTGACGTATCTGCGAGGGATCGCCGGGGGTGCGACGATGCATCAGTCACACAGCAAGCAGTAATCCGTTGGATGAACCCTTTGTCGACATCACTGTCGGTGGTTCGAGACAATGTAGTCATTTAGGTCCTTGTCCCCGGTGCTAAATTTGAGTCCAAGGGAGAGGGCTTCTCTTTTACGTGTGGGAATTTGAAGATATTCATTCTCATTCACACCTTTCTATACAAGAATACAAGGTACAAACATACACGTGAATAATATAAAACGCAAACAAAAGAAAAATACAACAAAAGTTAAGTAAATGTAAACTAACCAGTAAGGGTGTGGAAACGAGTCTGAGTAAACAAAGTGGTTGCTGTGGAGGTATTGTTCACCCCGGGAGACATTTTGTGTATCAACAGAGATTCTAAAATGATGACGATCTTTGCGGGGGGAATGGGACGATAATATACGAAAATCTGTGCGGGAGAAAGGATGTGTTGAAGGGAGTGTTCTATTGTAGTCGAGAAAGAAGGTCTACTCAACGAGAGGCCAGTTGGAAATGACTTGCCTTTATGTTCTGCTGTGCGGTGACGTAACCACCGTGAGGTTGACCCCACGTACCTTGCTTGGCAGCTAGGACAGGTGAATAAATACACTACATTAGAACATAGATCAGAATGGAGACTCCCAGATTGTTTCAAGGAATCTTTAGTTGCATTATTGTTAAAGACAAAAGTGAACTTGATTTGTGGGTAATTACTTTGTAGGAGAGATTTTAATTGTTTCCTGATTACAAAACAATTTACCCATACATGGTGGTTTTATATATCTGTGATATAGCAAGTCTGAGAATTTGTTATACAGGAAAGTTTTCATTATTTTGTCAAATAAATGTAGAGGATATCTATTAGTTGCAAAGATATCTTAGAAAAGTGATTTCATCATGAAAAGTGGACCAACTGCTCCATAGATTATGGGCTCTTGTAAGGAGTGTTTTTTTTTTTTACTATTAATTTTGTATATGTACTGGGTATAACTAAGGAACTGGAGACCAAAGCCAGTGAAGGTTGGTTTACGATAAATGCTAGTGTGAAAGAGGCCATTTTCACAGGTGACAACCGTATGCAAAAAGGCAGCTGGTTGTTTTGTGCTTCGTAGGTGAATTTGTTTGCAGACAAGATAATTTAGGTCAATGTATCGTCGGTACTGTATAGGCTTTAATTCTGGCGGGCACTGATTAAGCCGCGTATATATATATATATATATATATATATATATATATATATATATATATATATATATATATATATATATATATATATATATGTGTGTGTGTGTGTGTGTGTGTGTGTGTGTGTGTGTACAATATATACGATGTATGCATATGTGTATGTATATTTACATTTGTTTTCCCTTATCTATTATTATTTTATTTTTTTATCAAATAAAAGTTTGCACTCTGTGCTCTTATGTATGAAAAACCGTTGATAATTTCTAAATGACTTACTTGATTAAAGAGAACTCTCCCTTCCAGGCTACAGCCCCGGGGTGATGGGGCTTCACCCCGGGATGTGGGCCCAGCCTCAGCAGTACCCTATGGTGGCCATGCCCCTTCCGCCGCGTCGCGCTGCCACGCCCCCGCAGCTGCAGGCCGAGGACGACACCCCCGAGCCCCCCGCCAAGCGCCAGCGCGTCGGCGCCTCCTTCGACTGGGCGCCGGACTTCGACACGTCGCTTTTCGAGCAGGAGAAGCACGAGCCGAAGGCGCGAGTGGTGGCGCCGCCCCTGCTGACCCCGCCCCCACTCCCCCCCGAGCAGGAGCAGCCCGAGGACCTCTCCGGCGCCCAGGAGGACGACCCGCTCGCCGTGTCGCCGCCGCCGGCCTCGTACTTGGAGGCGGCCCCCGAGCTAGAGGCAAAGGCCCAGTCCACGCCGTACCTGCCGAAGCTGGAGCCCATATCGCCTCCCGAACCTTCGGAACACCGACCGGACTCTCCTGAAGGAGGAGGGGAGCCGCCGACGCCGGTTCTGCAGTACACAGTTAGTCCTCTCACTCCTGATGGCGGCGCCCCTTCCCATGCCCTTCAGCCCTTGCATCCGCCCCACATGCAGCAGCCCCAGCACCAGCCCGACGCCCAGCTTCATCTCCAGGCGCATCCCCATGCAGAGGCGCTGCAGCAGCCCCAGCAACTCCAGAATCCTCTCCACCAGCATCATCAGCACCAGCACGAGTCGCATGCTCCGTCGCGGATCATGCCGGAGTCGGTTCACCTGGAGCAGCTGGGCACGGTCACCATCAGCTCGCCCTACCCCGTGATGTCGCACCATCCCGCCTCACACGCGGAGGCGCTGCAAGTCATCCCGGGCGAGTCTCAGCACCCTAGTCGTCCTCACGCAGCGCTGCACCACTCTAGTCCTCACCACCACGAGAGTCCCTTCTCCGGCGACCACCAGCGCCTGCAGACCATCCACGAACAGCAGGTCATTCCCATCACTTACGTGCCGGCCACCCCAGACGGCGGCCAGGGCGTTGCCGGCGGCGAGGGCGGCCACCCGTCCTTCCGGCCCTCCTACGCCGGGGAGGGGCTCCCGGCCCCTTCGCGGCGGCGTGTGGTGCGCACGATGTCCAACTACAAGTACACCCGAGAGAAGAACGCCGAGTGCTACATCTGCCACAAGAAGTACGAGAGTAAGTACAAGTTGAAGCTGCACATGTACTCGCACACGGGCGAGCGCCCCTTCGTGTGCGAGGTGTGCGGGATCGGCTTCACGCGCGGCCCCAACCTCAACGCCCACCGCCGCGTGCACTCCGGGGCCAAGCCGTTCCCGTGCACGCGCTGCGGCCGGGGCTTCCGCCATCCGTCGGACCGAATCGTGCACATGGTGACGGAGGTGTGCACGCGCGTGTCCCGCCACGTGCAGGCCACGGCGTCGGGCGGGTGGATGTGCGGCGCGTGCGGGGAGGAGAACTTCGAGTCGGAGGAGCAGGCGGAGAGGCACGCCCGCCAGCACGAGACGGGGCGCGCCATGGCCTGCCCGGTGTGCCTCCAGAACTTCAAGGGCTGCAAGGCGCATCGCCTGGTGCGCCACGTCCGCGAACACCACCCGGAGTACATCACTAGTCTGGGCCTGTAAGGGCATCTTCTGTAGTGTTTTACGTTGTGCTTGTCGTTCGGTGCTTGATGTTAGGGAACGCCTGACTTTGACCCTGTGACACCTGCCGCTTTGTCCACGCGACTGGTGACGTGGCAGGTCCTGTTTTTACCAATACATTAATTTTATGTCGATTTAGCTCTTTATTTCTTATTCCTTGTCCTGATCCGTCCACTGCTAGGCCCGCTGCATGTCAGTGTTCAAGAATCAGTAAATTTACCAGGTGAGAACTCTCAGATGGCTCGCGGAAATAAGATTTGTTTTAAACAGATCAAGAAGTTTTTAATTAATTAATCAGTGATATATCGAGACAGGGAAAGAAAAAACAAAGAATACTGCATGTTATATATTGAAAAATACAGAGATTTACAAAGATCACACATCCGCATGCATTACAGGTTACATACATTGATTACATAGATATCAAAAATTAAACTAAACGTGGAGATGCAGAAGACGACAGCAAATAAAAACCTTGTGTGTGTTCAGTTGCGGTTAAAATCCTTGTCTCGCGACTTGAGCCTCGAGACACCAGTTCGAAATCAAAATTCAAGACATAATATTTTGAAATGTCATCCGGCGTGACCGCTGTAGTATATTTTCAGCTCATTTGAAACGCCATAAATGGAATGTGGTGTTCTATCATTTCACAACCAAGTAACGAAAAAAATATTGAACAAAGGTTCGTTTTAAAACTACATTAAACACTGGTCAATATCCAAAAATATTTGTGCAACCGATTTGGATATCGGCTACAATTGTAATAGAGAGCTTAAGGACGGTGTTTTGGTGCTAATAACGAAAACAAGCCCTATTTATGTTGTCCTGTTGCCGCGTCCAGGTATTTATGATACTTGAAGTCTCTCTCTCTCTCTCTCTCTCTCTCTCTCTCTCTCTCTCTCTCTCTTCTCTCTCTCTCTCCTCTCTCTCTCACTCACTCTCTCTCACTCTCACTCACTCACACACACACACACACACACACACACACACACACACACACACACACACACACACACACACACACACACACACACACACACACACACTATTGTTTTTAATCCCTCTGTTATCCTAACGCTTTCTCCTCACTCTCATCCCCCACAATTATTTTCACCCTCACTGGCATTTCCTCTCTTTTTCTCTCGTATTAACCCCTCACTGCCATTCTCTCCCCATCCCTTCTCACCCACTCTTTCTCCACTTCCCTCTCGACTCCAGCCCTTACAGACGTCTATACACACTCGTAGGAACTCATGCGTATGTACATACTTATACACAAATGCATAAACACATACACATTACACATTTGCCCACATTTATACACATTTACCCACATCTACGTACATACAAACTATACACACACACACACGCACACGGGACAACGCTCTGCATGGAGAGATTACAATAAATAAACTGGAGGAAGAAAAGAGACGATGAGGATTTCAGTCGAAGTCGAGTTTCCTGAAGGAGCCCTCGGTGCCGAAGAGATCCGCCGTCGTCTTGGGCTTGCCGGGGCGTCTCGACTCGTCCGCCGTGTGCTTCTCGTCCTCCAGGAACCAGGCGCGGTGCTCGTCCATCTTCCGCAGCCACTGGTCTGAGGAAGGAGAAAGGAATGTGAGGAGGGAAGGGGAGGGAGTGAGAGATGGGGATAATGATGGGGATGGAGGTGATGGTAAAACGAAAAAAAGGCGTCTTTTAGCTACATGAAATTAAGATCATTGCCCCTCTTTGTTTATATGCATCAGCGGTTTTCCTAATCGTTTGAGACCATGGGCCCCATCCCTGGTGAAAAAAGGAGAAAGGGCACCTTTCATGAAAATGGAGTAGACAAACATTTTATTCATTACAATTCTTACAAATGCAATTCTGTGATAGATATGAAACAATAGACAGTAAAAATTAACAATTAATTGGCCTGAAATTACTTGCATTAAAACAATAATAATAATAAAAAATGGATGATTCGTGAATTACGATTTATTTTTTTATACAGTATTAAAAAATATATATGAATCGATTTCCAATACACAACAATTGTGTACTACCTAAAAAGGCACAAAGAGCACTTCCCTCTGAATATATTTATCTTTTTAACGGAAGCATTTCATAATAACATGTTTATAATTTTATTCTTAGGTGCAAGGGGGCGTGGAGGGAGAGAAACTCCTGGACGGGGTGTGGGGGTAAAAAGTATAAGAATCACATCTACAATTCCTCACTTCAACTTGGAACTTTTTCATTATAGTAGACTTTGCTGACGGTAAACGCATTTTATTTGGCTTTTCATGAAACATTATTGGTAGTACTGCCAACTTGTGTGGGAGTACATCCATCAGATCGCCTTTTGCAAAGGTTTAGCAATATTATATCTGGACAAATGCAGTCAGTCGAAATGTTAAAAAGTCCAGGTGGATGGTCATCAAGATTTAAGGGATCGATTGTCCGTTTTCGTCCATCAGGGGAATCCGTATAGAGTCTGGAAGGACCTTCTTTATGAACAGCTGCGATGTTTGTATATTTGCTTGGCTGGCGGCTTTTGGTACACAATAGCCATGCACTTTATCAGTGAATCAAGCAGCTTGCTCATAGAACAAAGGTAATGATAACCATATCAAGCTTTGCTATAATGAGTGACCTACAAAGAAAAGACTTTGTATATAGATATGTGTAAAAAGTAACATTTTCAGGAAGCGTTTGAAAGTGTACATGAAAATATGATAATGCTTGCCTTATGTACTTATTATGCCCCAAATGGAGAGAAAATGGCATCATCTGCTGGACATTTCAAAAGTATCTATGCAGACACATAATGTCAATAAGAGATCCTCACATATTGCCAATATCAATTATTAATTATGTATGAAATATGTTTCAGTCGATTTCTAGCCCCTGAAAACCTAGGATACACCAAAACCAAGATCTTGTTTTAGTCATTAATGATTTACGGTAGCGGCCATTTTGAATTTCGGTCACAAAAAGAATTCCGCGAGGATGCGCAATTTGCACTAGACTGATACTCCATCAATAGGCTTAGATCTACCAGAAACAACAAAAAACATTGTATATGTCTCAAATCCGGGTTGACACTCTGCCACCGGACTTATCTCTAATAATATTCTAACAGATATATAGGTGATATATAGTTTATATGATATATATTTAGCCCAGCCAAATGGTATATTTTTGTAATCCCCTCTACAGCCCCTTATTCTAATTAGACCCTGTCCACACGGGCGAACTTTGCTTGATAAACTTTGCCTCTTTAAGGCTGTCGTAGGCATTTATGCTGGTGTCCAAACGGCATTAGTTGGGCAGTCAGAGCCTGGCAGTGACTGAGACAGGATCGAGTGGTTTACGACAACATGGATCGTAATTCCACCTTGGTTTGACATTTCTCAAAAATAGAAACGATTGATTGATGATGGGAGACAAGAACTGACGGCTCATAGGTACCGCCGTACTTTGTCAATTCGTGCGTCTGGCAGTAACTTCACCTATTCGAACAACAGGCAAAGCGGCGATACTTCGCTAAACATAAGACGAAACCTATACAAAGTTTTGCTCGTTTTTTTCTGACGTCACGCCGAGCAAACGTCGCCCATGTGGAAGCCTACTAATACGTCTTTCTATAGTGTTATGACCATCAAGCTTATATTGGTAGAGAGTCCTGCCCTGTCTGACCATATCGCCCTCTCCCAGGTCAGTGTCAGAAATGTTGGTGTTTTGGCCACCCTGCTAAGCACACCACAGCCACTGTCCTCTTTGTGCCCTCCATAATCACGCATGTGCGCCAGTTGTATTTTATAGTGGCTGTCCTGCCTACAAGTTTGTCTGAAGTAGCAGTCCTCATTGTCAGAATTGGCCTCACTTTATGCGAGGCCAAACAAAAAGTACGCGTCGAGGTTTTTCTTACACATCTTGGTGTCCTTCATTCTGCCCCTCCCCATTCTCCTTAAAATGTTTCTACTCCGCCAGTATCTCTTCCTTCAACTCTTTACGTTCCTACTTCTGTCCAATCTCTTTTCCAGTCAAATTATTTTGTCGTTCTAATCTCTACTTCCCCGGTGCCTAAATCTCCTCTTCCTCCCTCTACTCGTGGTATCAGATGGTCCAAACGTTCCACCCCATCTTCTGCCGCATCCTCTCCTACATCTACCTCTTCCTCTGCCCCTTAAACGTCAGTCTGTCTGCCTTAACCCACCCTCCTCCCCCTTTCTCCCTTTTCTAATCCTTACCTTATCCCATGGATATTCTTTCAGAATCCTACACTTTTTCCTTTGACAACTTTAATCTAATTTGTTAATCCCTACCTTAACCCATTAACACAACCTCTGCCTGCTTTCACCCTCTTTACCTCCCTCAGTGTCATACCATCTTAAACTGCTTTACGACTTTTACATGTACCACATTTTATCATCAACTTTACTCTATACTCTTTACCCCATTTATTACTACATCTTATAGTGCTATATGACCTTTGATATCTTCTAGCACATATATTTTACTTTGTAACCATTAACCATAAACCATTTTCTTCTCACCCTTACTTTTTTTCTCCGCTAATGCAAACAACGAATCATCTAATGAAAATTACTCTCATTCACACAGCGTATCATACATACAATCCTTTAATCCACACACCTGCAATTTCCTTAACGGTTCCCGCCGACCCCCCATATTCCGACGGCAGCATCTCACGGGGGAAGAACTTGCACATTCCGTCAATGTTGCTGCCGTGCATGTGGATCTGCAAAGGCGGAGTGTGTTAAGGCCAGGTTGAGTGATTAAAAATAGAAGAAAAAAATTAGTTCCAATTCCATTTATTACCATGGATATTCTTTGCTGGGACATGCTGTCTGTTTTATTTTGCTTCTAAATCTCTCCCTGTGCGCAAGGAATGGCTGGGGTTACCATCCACTGTTAGTGCGCAGGATCGCATGCAGGTCAGCAAGATTGCAAGACCAGCACGTTACCATTGCACTACACAGACCAGTGAGGAGGCCAGGGCGAAGGTGTGTGGAATTGTAATAATATACCGAGGAAAGAAATGGGAATCAGCAAACAGGCTTAGAAAGAAAGAGGGAAGGAATGGGTTAGAAAGAAAAGAGGGAAGGACAGAGAGAGAGACTGACTGACTAACATCATTGACTGACATTGACTAAATGGCTGACTGACACGATCACTGTTGAATAGCATTTCTTTTCTTCTTTTTCTTTTTCCACCAAAAGTACTCACTCTCTTCTTCATTTTCTCCCGCATCAAAGGCTTAAAGAGGTTGAACAAAGCATCGAAGGCCTGTGGAGTGTTGATGTAGTGAACGCCCTTGGGTCGGAACGGGTAACCTTCCTGAAAGCAGAACAAAAAAAGTGAACTATTTAGATGGTCTGAAAATGAATGATGAATGAATGCATGCATAATGAATAGATTAATGAATATGATGCATAATGAATGAATGAATAAGCATATTAATGAATAGATACATAGCTAGATATTTCAACCTAACCCTTGACATTCTTACGTAGATTGGCACATGCTCTTCAAAATACAATAATCTATCGAATTTTTAAAAAGATCATGTGAATTGCCTTCAATAATGTGTGTTCATATTAACTTATCTACTTATCTGTTCTATTTACTTATCTATCAGCCTACTCAATCACCTATATATCACCTATATATTTGCCTATCATTATTATTACTCAGCTATCAATACATATACTTATTTTCTCGCATATATCAAGTTAATTTCTCCCTCTTGTGTGTCTGATAGTCCACACGATAACACATGACCTTTGTCCTTCTGATAATATATTAGTTGACAGTAACGATTACATGCATAATTAGCACATGCCTGATGTGGGAGGAGAGACTGTAATATTTGTACTTATATTTGAATAAAGTCTGTGGTTGAATATCTTTCTATGTTGCTTTCGAACATAATCATTTAACTATTCCAAAAGATAAAGAAAATAAGATTCTGCTGAATGAGGTCACTTTCACCGCCATTCGATACGGGGGAAAACGCCTCACTAAGGGTCTTAACACAGGGGAGGGAGTGATGCAACACGCTCGATCCTCCCGAAGATAACGTATCACAAGATAAGCCGACAACAGTCACATTGTCTCCTGGACGTCAAGTTTCATCACGTATTTGCGAAGGATCTGAATTAATCAATCTATTTGTTTTTATTTCCTCTTAATCACCTTAGTGTGTGTGTTTAATGGCACTTTACTGTTGTAGTTCGAATGCCATTAATACTTCCTTTAGTGACTAAGACGGAAAATCCTGACTGATAAGAGCCATGGCATCAGCTGGTGGGTGAGTCATGCCCATGCTTGCCAACTGAGTCACGTTTATCCGTCTGGGTCTAACGCCGGGTCATATGCTTGCCTATCTTGAATGGGTGAGTCAGGTGTGAGTCAGGTGTCGAGTATCTTGTAAACGTAGTACGGAAGTGGAATCGTAGATCCTCTTTTGTTTACCTTATAAGGAGCAAAGCAACCCCGTAAATGCGCTCTATTGCAGACTTAAAAGGAAGGTAGGATTACTTAGTATCTTCAAGCTCAACCGTATGTCTGGCTGGCTTGGTCGAGCAGACCGTACCTGCCAGGTGGTCGAGACGCGCTTGATGAGAGGCAGCGGAAGTGCGGCCACGTGTTTGAGCGTCAGGCCCGTCATGTCATTGGCCTGGACGATGCCCGTGACCGTCATCTGCTCGTCCTCGAGGAACATCACGTCGAAGAGCATGCCGGCCGCCTTGAAGAGGTCCTCGGGCTTGTGTTTGGAGGGATCCCACGCGCCCAGCCGCCCGAAGATCACCTTCCGGCCGTCCGAGTCGTAGCCGGGCAGCGGGAACATCAGCCTGGGGGTGGAAGCCTTGCTATCCCTGTCCGTCTATACATTTTGCAGTACTTATTCGCCCGGTTTGTTAAAACTGTGCGAAGCCCGAGTCTATGAATATTCACATACATATATACCGAAATGAATATATATCTATCAATCTAGACATGCATATCTACCGGATCGATAGATAGATTAAAGTATAGTCATTAGATTCATAGACGGATATGCATATATTTCTGTGAATATGCATATCCGTATATATGAATATTTATTGGGTCGGGCCTCAGACAATTTTAATAAACTGGCCGATTATCTGTTAGTGTTATCATTTCAAAAAGCATACAATTACGCAAGCAGTTCATTCACCTATTTCACAAATCTCTACCGCCTTTTAAAACCATATAAACCACTATTAAAATTCGCTATAATGACATCCAGCAACACAGTATCACCAATCCATCCAATACACACATACACCCTTCACGTACCACATGAACTCCACTCTCTCTTAATCCAATGACGCACAGTCACTCTCAGTCACCCCCAGTCACTCTCAGTCACTCAGTCACTCTCAGTCACTCTCAGTCACCCTCAGTCACCCTCGCCTGTCGTCCTCACGCCCTGCCTCACCCTAGCTTGATGATGCTCCTGAGTTTCGGGTTCTGAGGATCCCTTCCCTTGAACATGTCCGGGAGGGCGCCCTTGCAAGTGTAGTACATGTCCAGCTTGGCTTTCGTCCGCTCGAGGGAGAACTTGCATCCTCGGAGGTACCGCAGAATCAGTTGTCGGTCTGCGGGAGGGAGGAAGAGGAGGCCATGAGGCGAAGGAGGGTGAGGATGAGGAGGTCATGAGGAGGAGGAGGAGGAGGAGAAAGTCACAAGGGGAAGGAAGAGGAAGATGAAGCCATGAGGGAAAGGAGGATGAGGATGAAGTCATAAGGGAAAGGAGGAGGAGGAGGAGAAAGTCATGAGGGGAAGGAGGGTGAGGAGGAGGAGGCATGAGGAGAAGGAGGAGGAGAAAGTCACGAGGAAGGAGGAGGAAGAAGAGGCCATGGGGAAGGAGGATGAGGATGAGGTCATGAGGCGAAGGAGGATGAGGAGAATGTGGAGGAGAGGAAGAGGAGGTCATGAAAGGAAGATGAATGAAGGAGGAAGAGGTGATAGTCATAGGACAAAAAGTGAGGAGGAGGAAGAGAAGGAAGAGGAGGTCATGAGGGGAAGGAGGGAGAGGTCATGATGCAAAAGAGGATGGGGAGATTATGCGGGAAAGAGGGAAGAGATCATGAGGGCAGAAGGAAGACGAGGTCATGAGGAGGAGGAGAACATGAGGCGAAGGAAGAGGACGAGGTCAGAGGAGACAAGGGGCCAGATTACGGCTAGCATATAACCAAAGCGCTCTTCAAAAGATGCCCATTTGGCCCTTCCATTAGCACCCTTTGGCCCTTACTGCGGTGTCCCCTCGGCCCTTCCTATGGTGTATCTCTCGGCCGTGAAACGTGTCCCCCTCGGCCCTTCCTGTGGTGTCCCTCGTGCCCTTTTAAATGTCCGCTGGTCCTTCGCAAAAAGTGTCCTTTCGACCTATCCAGTGAAGCAATGCAATCCTTCCAAATTTACCGAAGCGGTCATTCTAATAGTGACCCTCGGGCTATAACAATAACAATGTAATAACAATGAATTGAAATAATGATAAAATATAATAAAAAAAATACCGCTCTCGGGCTATGAATCTTAAATTCTACGTCAGCGGTGCTCTGGTTGCCTCCTTTTAACTTGCCACTCGATCGCCTGCTTACTGTATATTACATAATGGTTGACTCAGACCTTCCCTGTCCCTGCCCCGTACCAGTGCGAGAGCGTTGAGGTGGGGCTGCTTCACGAGCCACTCCCCCACGGCCTGGATGTCCTTCTCCGCCGCTTCGGGTCCTCGTTCAGCTCCTCCCGGGCCAGGCGCTGCAACTCGGGGGAGAGCGTGGAAATTTCCTCCGCTTCAGGCATGGTCGTCTGTGCGCGGAAGCTGCTGCGGAAGAGATGGGAACAGAGTGATTAGAATCTCTCTCTGTGTTTCTACGGGAGTACGCACACACGCATGCTCGCACCCACCCACACAGATAGATAGATAGATAGAGAGAGAGAGAGAGAGATAGAGAGAGAGAGAGAGAGAGAGAGATGAGAGAGAGAGAGAGAGAGAGATTGATAGATATGAGTGTCTCTGATTACTTACTATCTACTTTACATAATCAGGAGTTGGAACTTACGTCACAGCTTAACGATACCCAAGCTGTGTGTCACAGGAAGCTACTACTGACACCAGGAAACAGGAGACTTCTAAAGGATATTTGTGTCATGTGTTTTACTTCCGGCTATGTCATGTGTGTGTGTGTCCGTCCTGCAATATAGCAATTTTGGGTATACATTGGTTAATACATATGAGCCCGTAATGCAGTGGTTCCCAACCTTTTTTCACGCCCGCACCCGTAAGAAAATTTTACGGTGTCCTCGCACTCCCTTTAAACTCATAGCTTATTTAAGGAAAATGGAGGTGATTTTTTTTTTTTTACTAAATTTGATCAACAAAAAATATTCTTTTCATTTTCTAATAATATGTTGACAAAAAAGTCAAACATATGGACAAAAAACACATTGTCTGAATAAACCTTACAAAAAATTTCTTGCTTGAAATTACGTCATAATCAAATAACAAACTTTAAAACGTTTCCATAAATAGATTTTCAATTCAATAGAACATTCCTTCCTGTTTATTGATTATGAATAATAAATAGATTAATTGCTTGTCTTCGAGATGGACACTTCTCTCACCCTTTGGAATGCCCCCCCCCCCCCAGTTGTGAACACCCCTGGTTGGGAAACCTGCCCTAATGCAACGAGCCCCCATGTTGACATTGTACCGCTTATGAAACGATAAGATGTGTGACGTAACCATAGAGATAAGACATCGACTTTGACGTTATAATAACGATTTACTTTCATTTTTTTATTCATCTATTTATGAGTGCTGACCAAGTGGTGGATATTCTTTGTTCATTTTACCGACCGACCGACCGACCGACCGACCGACCGACCTACCTACCTACCTACCTACCTACCTACCTACCTACCTACCTACCCTACCTACTACCTACCTACCTACCTACCTACCTACCTACCTACCTACCTACCTACCTACCTACCTACCTACCTACCTACCTACCTACCTACCTATATCGCACATATATATCTATTCTGACTGAGTACAAAGCGTGCGGCCTTTCCTCTCGCACCATCCCTGTTGCAAGAGTATCGGATGTTCTCGTCCTTCTAGGAATAACACCAAAGATGATGATAATGAAACCATCACGCCTTCTAAATCAGATAACAACATCGATAACCGTGGCAAAAATAAAGCACAAAATAAAATCTCAATCGTATTATTTTATCACAACCTATTCGGGGAGTGTCCGATATAAGGCCTCCGACCCCAGTAGTTCTATTTTGCCACGGTGGAAGACTGCAGATTTCGACCTTATGAACACTATTCGATAACGCTGATTGATCTGTTTACAAAATCCTTGTGTGACACTTAAAGGTGAAAATATAAATAGGATACATTATTTTGGGGTTAACACTCTGGCGGTGTTTGGCAGTCACTTCGATTCATCTGTTACGCAAGTTATGATAACAGATACGAACCTTATTAGAAAAAACGAAACAAAATAAAAAAGTAATAAAACAAAAACAAAATACATATAGAAAAATCCGCTAGCGTATAAACTTAAAATTAAAAGCTAAGACGGGGTTTTCTTTTTTATGAAGATGGAATATTCTGACATAAGACACAAGAAAACGAGACTTTTCTTGTAAAAAGGGATATCATGTAACTAACTGGTATATTA